TATTATTATTATTATTAAGCACTAAACTAATATATCAAATGTAGTTATACAATGATCTAGTGCTGACTTCAGCAGATTGTTTTTTTGAAAAATAAGTAATACTTTGGGGCAACAAGGGAGAAAAATGAGTGGATATTCTCACTGTCTATAACATCACGCCCAGCTTAGTACAGCACCAGAATCACAACAACAACCATACTCACCCATTCTTTGGGAGAACAAAACAATGGATGACATGGTGCAACATCCATTCAAATTGATCTGGCTTGGAAAAAGTCAAAACCTACTCACCTCCAAGGGGAGGTGAAATAAAACTCTGCATGTTATTCAAATTATCTTTGTTCCACATGATCAATAAAAAAAGTAAATTCTTCCATTTTACATCCACAGCAAATCCTTTACTATTTGACTGTGTAGTTTTAGCCTCGTTTTGCAACTAGAAGAAAGGGAAAACTGATTTTTGAAGCTATACAATTGTTTATCATCATTTGTTTCCTGTTTCAACCAATTTAAGTGTTTCTTATTTCAGCCTAAATTTGAATAAAAGTCCACTTCTTGAAAACAGCTAAGAAATTCTTGAAAATTTCTTGTGATATCCATGTTTGCAAACATCTTCAGTGCTAAAAATGAAACTTTATTTTCGTTTCAGGGATTATATGTACATACAATGTTACATATTCCTAGGGATTAATGTATTGCTTCCTGATACAAACAGAAATTAGACAGATGTCATATATAGACTGTAAAGTCATTTTTGAATCTTTGTAACACTATAAAACTCCAGTGCAAAGGGACAGTAGCTGAAGAAAGCATTTGCTTGTACGTTAATAGAGCTAATTACAATCTTATACTTGCTTCATTGATTCTTAGAGTTGTTTCAATGATTCTAGATCAAGGAAGTGGGATCTGTATGATGAAGCGGATTTTCATGTGTAAACTCTATACAAATCAGATGTGTATCAGATTGTGAATTTGCACCTATGTACCCTGTTTCCCCGAAAATAAGACCTCACCTGAAAATAAGCCCTAGTATGATTTTTCAGGAGGCTCGTAATATAAGCCCTACCCCAAAAATAAGCCCTAGTTAAGTGAAACCCCATCATCCAACATTGTGCAGCATTATGCAGCAACTAGAAGATGACATGACTGTAAAATAAAACATCCCCTGAAAATAAGCCCTTAGAGCAAAAATTATGGTAATATAAGACCCTGTCTTATTTTTGGGAAAACACGGTAGTAATGCTCATTGTAATAGCTGATTGATATAGAAGTCCAGTTGGTACTAGATGAGCCTGAATACAATTCAGTTAGGATGAGTATATTTTCCCTCAGAGTTAAAATGAATAGGTAAGGCAGTGAAGTCTTGCGTGACTGTTTATTTTGTCATAATCAGGAGGCCAGTTAATTTTGCATTGTGTCTTTAGGTAAACATCTGTCATTCTATTCTCAAAGGCTTTCACGTCTGGGATCTGATGGTGGTTGTAGATTTTTTGGGCTGTTTGGCCGTGTGCTTAAGTTTTTTCTTCCTAACGTCTCTGTGGCCGGCACCTTTTGATGACAGGAGTCAGAACTCTGTGTTCTGGTGCAGTTTTGTGGGACAGTTGTTGACATAACATTTGTTGTATTTTTGTGGTGGGTCTGAATATTATTTGTAGGTTGTGTTTTTTCAAAAGCTTCAGATCACCTCACCCCCTTACCCTAACAATGCACCCACAACAAAAAACACACTGATCACCATAATCACCCAATCTCCTGAAAAGGACAAAACCTGATCCCACAGCTATAAATACTCAACTATCCCACAAAACTGCACCAGACAGAGTTCTGACTCCTGTCCTCTGAAGATGCCGACAACAGAGATGTTGTAACATGGAAGTCATACCTTCTCCTTACCTGTGGAAGAACATGGCCTGGAAATACTGAAGGTGCAAACCTGTAGATTATATATATGCAATTCATAAATACAGTGGTGCCTCGCATTACGATTGTCCCGCATGATGACAAAACTGCATTATGATGACGTCTTTGTGATCGCTTTTGCGAACGCAAAACGATGATCTAAATGGGTTTGTTTCACTTTGTGATGATCGGTTCCCTGCTTCGGGAACCCATTCTTCACAAAATGACAATTTTTCTACAGCTAATTGGCAGTTTCAAAATGGCCGCCTGGTAAATAAAATGGCTCCCCGCTGTTTTCTGGGATGGATTCTTTGCAAGACAGCCACCGAAAATGGCCGCCCTATGGAGGATCTTCGCTGGACGGTGAGTTTCCAGCCCATTGGAATGCATTGAAGGTGTTTCAATGCGTTTCAGTGGGCTTTTTATTTTCACATTACGATGTTTTTGTTCTACAGCAATTTTGCTGGAACGAATGGACATCGTAATATGAGGCACCACTGTATTAAAACCTAGAAGAGTAGTTGAAGAGTGCTATTTCCTGTTTTTTTCAGAACTGGCTTTGATAAATGTTATCAAAATTTTAGAAAAATGTAAGAAAAGTATACAAACTGTTACCGACATTTGTGCAGTATATCACAAGGTCTCTGATTCCCTCTAGTGGCCTGTTCTGGTAATATACCATGGAAAGACATATTTCTTTTTCTAATTTAATATTTTCAGGCAGTGTATAAGTGACAACGGGGATATTGATCTCATGGATACAGAGGTCCTACTGTAATATTATGGCATCCTGATGAAATCACTTTTGACCTCTGTATTTTTGGTTTATAGAAAGCTTTTCTTTTTTACAAAGTTATTATATGGTTAACTTTTAAAAAAATACATGTATATATGTATGCATGTATGTATGTATGTATGTATTTATTTATTTATTTATTCATTCATTCATTTATTTATTTATTTAGTTCCTGATGATGTGTTTGCCATGAACTACATATGGAAAGGTTCCTACAATTACAAAGGGAAGAAACAACCAATGACTTTGACAATTACTAATTTCAATGCAACATCGGGAAGAGTGAATGCGACACTTATAAATAGCAATATGGAACTGTTACTTTCAGGTATGACTAAGAAAAAAAAACTGTTGCAAAGTTCTTAATTTAATATCCATAATGAAAATGTATACGAATTCTTCAGGAATTCCAAAAACTTTCATATTGTATATTTCCTGATTTTGCAAGAAATGCTATAAGAAAAGAAAGGGGGATGGAGCATGAGGGAATGAAACCATGTGCACAGTTCTATCCATAGCATCACAAGTATAAATTCCATTCTTACCGAAGGGACTGCTAAACACATGAGTCCATATTTCTCCCTGCACATTGACAAGGTTAATTAGAAATAAATTTCCCCACTGTTAATTATAAATCAATACAAATATTCATTATATTTAGATAAGTACACAAATGAAAGGCACAAAAAATATTAGTTACTATATCTCACAGATTATGGATATAGAACATTGGTTCCCAACCTTGGGTAACCCAAATGTCCTTGTACTACAATTCCCAGAAACCCTGGCCAGCATAGCTGGTGGTGAAGGCTTCTGGGAACTGCAGTCCAAGAATACCTGGGTTTCCCAAAGTTGGGAACCACTGTAGAATCTGATTAAAATCCTAGACTTGATGGGCCTATTCTTCACTTTGGACTCCATGATGTAGACACAGTTTGCAGTTTAGAATCTTTATCCTTACAGAGAGCTAGGAAAAAAAAACTTTTGTCAAAGATGTGCATGTTTCATGAGCATAGGAAGCATTGCTTCAATTCCTTCTATTAAATGGGTATTTTATTACTATTGCATAGAATTTAAGACAGACATATCTCCACACATTTGGAGGAAATGAAGGTGAATCTCAGCCCACTTAAATGAATGGCAGCAATAGAGCTGGATTTAGACTGGACATGGGAGGGGGGGAACCTTATAAATGTCCACATTCCTGCTCACATTCTTCCGTTAATTTATACTGTTTTTTTAAAAAAACTTTTTTTTTTACCAAAGATGCTATTGGGTATTCACAAAAAATCTGTGGACTGTCCCAGATATGTTTTCTAACCAATTTATTTGCATTTCATCTTCATAGAGAAAAGAGGGATGGAAACAGACTAAAATTAGTTGCAGAACACAGTATATATGACATTGAAAATGTTAGCGACCTATGCTGAAGAGAGTTTATTTTTTTAAAAAAACAAAAACCTTGCATTACTTACACAGATCAACTATCTTTACATTTCACAGGGTTGTATAAAAGCCAAGAGGCCCGTTTAATGCTCCATATATATCTGATTAAATCACCGTCCCATACTTCTGTGAACAAACTGAAGGAAGAAAAATGGGCAATGGATGGCTTCGTGAGTATGGTTCTGGCAAAATCTTGTAATGTCCTAATAGGAAATGGTGACTTGTGTGTAATACACACACACACCACACACACACACACACACTATATTAAAATTGAAATTAAATTAGCAGCATTGAAAAAAGAAAATCATACAGACAGTTGTTGACTGAAGAGAAGCAAATGTTCCTATGATACAGTGACAACTTGAAAGGTCTTTGGATCTGCAGTTGATTGGTTTCAGAGGTAGAATTAGTCTTAAATGATTCCAGCATGGATGTCTCTGTGTGTGTCAACATGCATTAGGGGCAGCTACAGTGTAGTTACTTTCCAAAAGTACCACTATTGTAAAAAACATGTGATGCTTCAATGCCTTTTAATATATTCATAATAAGATATAATTATTATTTTTTTCATACCATATAATGACCCTGTATGGATAAGAGTACCTGCTTTAGAATGCTGTAATTTAAAATACAGTGGTGTCCCGCATAGCGACATTAATCCGTTAATACCTTTCTGGTATCTTCAAAGCTCTCCTTCTTAGCGATGTTAATCTGTTCCAGGATTAACGTTGCTATCCGGAATCGTCGCTAAATGGAAAGAAAAACCCCATAGGGAACGCATTAAACTCCATTTAATGCGTTCTTATGGGGGGGAACTCACCGTTGAGCGAAGATCCTCCATAGCGCTGCCATTTTTGCCAACTCGGTAAGCGAGGGCAATGTGCGAAAACACTGCGGGTGGCCATTTTGTGCACCCGGCGGCCATTTTGGAACCGCCGATCAGCTGTTTAAAAAACATCGCAATGTGAAGATCAGTAAGTGAAACGCTTACCGATCATTGCAATGCAATTTTTGGCCATTTAGATCATCGCAATGCAATCGCATTAGCGGTCGCAAAAACGCGTTGCTATGTGAATTCGTTGTTAAACGGTGCGCTCATTATGCGAGGCACCACTGTAAAATAAAAATGGGATGATACCCTAAATGTTCTGTCAAGCAATTAGAAATGCATAAACCTTATGGCACACATCAGTGTGGGTCAAGAAGTTATTTTAATAGGTGTTGTTGTTCCCTTTAAAAGGTTAGATTACCATGGAAGCTGTCAGAAAAAACAAATTGGTAGTTGAACCACCACAGAATGTATTCTGTATTTAAGTATAAATCCTAGACCCAGTACAGTAGTAGCACTTTGACTGCTTAATTAGAGATGGACTGCAAGAAAATAAAAAGTTACTCTTTCCTCTTTTTCTCTCAAAATACACATGCCTGCGCATGATTTCCTTTGTAGCTACAGAGATTAATGTATTAACTCTACAAATTATTCCACATATTCATTCTTTCCAATGATAAAGTTGCAAAGATAGTCAAATATGTAATGTCACTAACTTTTTTGCTTCTATAAAAAGAGGTGTCCTATTCTAGCTTCCAGTGCCTTTAAAAAGAAAAGAAAAATAAGTGTAGAGGACTCCCACAGGTTTATACAAGTACTAGTGCAAAATTTGGTATGTGTGGGAAAATTAAACATTATTTTGGACATCCAAGATTAGATTTTCTGGAAACATTTTATTTTACTTCCCAAAACATATTTTGGGGCAATATCACCTAGTGATTATAATCTGCACTGCTTTTCCAGCTTGACTGTTAAGCAATATTGCTAAATCTACCAGGAGCCTGTGAAATTCTGTAAGAAATAATCTGGACCTAAGATAGTTGTTGTGAACATGCTCAGTCATGTTGGTTCCTATTTTCCTACTGTCTTCAGCTTTTTGTAGCATTCTTGTATTTTCCAGGAGGTCTTGCTGTCATATATCCACAATAGCCTCAATTTAGTCATTCTACTTCATTCAGACTTTATTTGCCATAGAACAAAAATATTAATCTTTCTGGTATCTTCAAAGCTCTCCTTCTTCCAACATCACATTTTGAATGAAGGTTTAATCAAGTTCAATTATTTATGTATATGTATATGTATATGTATATGTATATGTATATGTATATGTATATGTATATGTATATGTATATGTATATGTATATGTATATGTATATGTATATGTATATGTATATGTATATGTATATGTATATGTATATGTATATGTATATGTATATGTATATGTATATGTATATGTATATGTATATGTATATGTATATGTATATGTATATGTATATGTATATGTATATGTATATGTATATGTATATGTATATGTATATGTATATGTATATGTATATGTATATGTATATGTATATGTATATGTATATGTATATGTATATGTATATGTATATGTATATGTATATGTATATGTATATGTATATGTATATGTATATGTATATGTATATGTATATGTATATGTATATGTATATGTATATGTATATGTATATGTATATGTATATGTATATGTATATGTATATGTATATGTATATGTATATGTATATGTATATGTATATGTATATGTATATGTATATGTATATGTATATGTATATGTATATGTATATGTATATGTATATGTATATGTATATGTATATGTATATGTATATGTATATGTATATGTATATGTATATGTATATGTATATGTATATGTATACAAAGATTAAACCTGAAAAAGAACATTAAAACATTGATGTTTTGTTTCACAGTCTGATCCTGCTCTTTCTTTTCTATAGAGACTACCTCTGGTTCTGATTTTGCATGATAACCAGTTTTTTAATCTTCCATTGTAACTGCATTGAAAGAACATTTTTCACCCTGCATTCTTCATGGTAGTAATCTCAGTTGTTCATTTAAAAAAATAACAGCATACATAATGCAATTCATACCGAATGATAGTAAATGGCTGCACATATTCTTAGTGCAACTACTGCAGAAAATTTATTTCCAAATAGTTTCAAGTGGCTGAATTGTAAGGGCCTCATTCCAACTAAAAGGCAGTTTCTGAATTGTTAACCAGTAGATGTGCCTCCAGCATTGATTTGTTTCTTTTTAAATTCATACAGGTTTCTGCTGAACCTGATGGTGCTACCTATGTTTTTCAAGGATTTATCCAGGGTAAAGATTATGGACAATTTGGACTTCAAAGATTAGGTAATCAGTAGTCATTAATTCTGTATTATTTAAATCTGTTCTTGGCATTTGAATTCAGTGTGTAGAGAGGAAATTGCTACCATCTTCAAGCTTCATGTGCTGGTTGGCTTTGGATGCATATAACCACATGACCATAAACCCTATGAAACACAATCTTCCCTGATTTTGCCAAGACAGACAGTCACATGAGTACAGCTCAGTTAGGAGCCCTATTCAGGCACTGAATAAAGAAATATTAAGATAGAAAAAAATGCTTGCTAAGTTGTTCTTTCTTGTGCCTCAGCATGACAGACTACAACCATGCATTTTGACATTGCAAGATTATTATTATTATTATTATTTTGCATTAAGCCAAGAGTGACACAAAAAGCTTGTCATAGAATCATAGAATTCTGAAGTTGGAAGGGTCCCATAAGGCCATCAAGTCCAACCCCCTGCTTGACGCAGGAATACAAATCAAAGGATATCTGTCAGGTGGTTTTCTAAGTTTCTCTTGAATGCCTCCAGTATTGGAGTACCCACTACCTTTCAAAGTAATTGATTCCACTGTCTTCGTGCTCTAACAGTTAGGAAGTTTGTTTCCTGATATTCAATTAAAATCTGGCTTTCTATCCCTCCTCCACCTCCCAATATACACAGGGGAGGGGGGGAAGGAAAAAAAAGTAAGTATTCAATTTAGCCAGTTTCCCCTATACACAGCTGCTCCAAGCCATTTCAATCAAGTTACTCTAGTTAGTGTACATCAACATATGTTAAGGTACTTCAGCTGAATTGTGAGGTGATTCAGGCAATAGTGCTTTTTCTTTCATTTTTAAGGGGGACTCGGGGGGGGGATGCTTTGGAATTCATGTAAATTGCTTTTTTACCCTACACCCATCTCTGTTCATCTACTTCTCCTCCTCTATCCCAATTCCTTGGTGATAACAAAATATTACTACCTGTATCCATAAGCATATATATAAAAAAACCAAGAAAATGTTACATAGCTGAAAGAAAATATTAAGCAATAAATTACCAGAATCCATTTCTGGATAACTGCAGTTTTTTTACCCCCATAAACAAAAGCTGGTACAGTATATTGTTAAATGTTCCATTTCTCAGGCAGAGGAATTCTGTTTAGACCAATCTGTACAGATTTACTTGAGGAATTAGTTGCCTTGGCTGTAATCCCTCTTTAAGTATCTAGGTTCCTTTCAACTATGATCATTTTATCTAGAGGCAAAAATATGTTCCTCTAGTTTCTAGGGACTATCAGCTCCTCATTTTTATTGTAAACATAAAAAGAAGGAAGTAGCATCTCAAGTATGTAATTGCACAGTTTATCTAGCTTTGCAAATATTAAAAAGCAAGGTTGG